TATATATATTTGTCCTGCTTATTGAAAATGTACAACTGTGACTTTTAGATAAAGAAGGAAAATGTTTCGCATTCATCATCTTTATCTTACGATGAACAGTATGACAAAACACAATACATAAGGTATATTAAAGTATCTTTACTACCTTGCATATCACCTCCTGTCTATCCAACAGCAAGCATCCAGCAGGAACTCAATACTTACCACCGGCGTTTGAGGGACACCTACCGACCTGACCTCAAGGACGAGGCCGACCTTGGGGTGCTTCCCGGTAACCCCGTCTTTCACGACCTCGAGCCTCATTTCTTCCGTCCCCCCGGGAGCTTGGTCTTGGAGCCGGAGGACAGAGAGAAGCATGGCAGGTGAGGAAGTTAGGGATGGGGGGGGGAGGGTGCTTGTCGAGAATCGGGGTCCTTTAGGAGGTGACTGTGGTAGAATGGAGGGGCCTCTTGTTTATTTACTGTTTTGTTTTTCTTTCGTTGGGGGTTCCTGGTTAACTGGAGTTATATTAGTGGATTTGCATTATGAAGTGAGAATGTATTTCCCGCCGCTATTGAATTTCGAATCTCTCTTTCTCTCTCTCTCTCTCTCTCTCTCTCTCTCTCTCTCTCTCTCTTTCTCTGTCTGTCTGTCTGCCTATCTATCTATCTATTCATCCCTAGTCCCCCTGGCTTTCCTTTCGTCCTCCTCTCTCTTTTGTCTTCTTATCTTTCCATCACCCCTTATAATCTTCTTTCCTTCCCTCCCCTCCTCTTCCCTCTCCCTCCCTCCTCTCTCCATCACTCCCTTCCCTTCTTTTCTCTCCCCTCCCTCCCTCCTCTCTTCAACTCCACTCTACTCTGCCTCCTCTCCTCAACCCCCTTACTCCCCATCTACTCTTTCTCCTCCTTCTCTCTCTATCACCCTCCCCAGTCTCCCTCCTTCCCTCCTTCTCTCCTCAAGCCCCTTACTCCCCCANCTCTTTCTCCTCCTTCTCTCTCTATCACCCTCCCCAGTCTCCTCCTTCTCTCCTCCCAACCCCCTTACTCCCGCCATCTACTCTTTCTCCTCCTTCTCTCTCTATCAACTCCCCCCCCCTCTCTTCCTACTTTCCTCTCACCTCGCCCTTCCTCCCCTCTCCCCAGACAAGTCAGCGTTGCCGACCTCCTCACCACACAGCTGGACGAGGAAGCGAAGGACCTCCCGCGCCGAGTCCTGGTGGTGGGTCGGCCCGAGAGCGGCAAGACTGCGCTCTTCGCCGAGCTCATTCACCTTTGGCTCCACGACAAGGAGAAGGTGGGCGTGGTCGTTCATAGCAACGAGTGTCACTTTTATTATTGCTGGTATTATTGTCATTGTTGTTGTTATTTGTATTATCATTATTGTTGATTTTACTATTAATGTTATCGTTTCTATTAGTATTACTATTATTGTATCTTTTTGTCGTTGTTATTATTATGATTATCATTACTATTCTCATTATCATTATTATCATTGCTACCATAATTATTGCCACTATTATTATCATTGTTATTATTGTTTGTCTTTATCGTTATGATTGTGGTTATCATCAGTATCACCATGACTATGATCATTATTATCATCATTTCTTCATTATTATCATTAGCAGTAGTAGTGGAACGATGTTTACTCGATTTGGAGAGGAAAGTAAAGAAGAATGAACAGGAAAACAGACATAATTCTGAATTTTTTGTCGCTGTTTTTTTGTATCTTCCAGGTTCGTGGTATGGTTGAATACGAAACCCTCCTAGCTATCCAGTGTCTTGGTATTCAACCTCCTCCCGATGCTAACGGGAAGACGAAACTCAGCCTCTCGGATGAGGCTCTTAAGCGTCTTCCAGCGTCCTGCGGGAAATTCGGTGAGGAGAAGGTAAAGTGTGTCATGAGTGAAATGAAAGTTCTCCTGCTGGTTGACTCCCTGGACGAACTCCCTCCGGGTTGGGCCATCGGCGAGACGTCGTTTTCGCCTTGGACGAATGTGCGTGTGGTGGCGTTCTCCGGCCTGAAGTTCATGCAGGATCACGCCCACGCCATGCGCTACGAGTGCGACAGAGACCATCTGGTGCTTCGTCTCTGGGGCGGGATGGCTGCCATTCCTGTCAAGACACCTCGCGAGGCTTCTGAATCGATTGCCGAGCTGTCAGGCGGTCTCTCGGGCCCCCTCTTCGACGCCTACTGCCAGAGACTCTGCCAGGTGCACGGGAAAGAGTATGCTGAGTTTAAGAAATATTTAAACAGATTAATGATGACCTTGTCGATGGAAATCAGAAAGCCTTTTAACACTTACGTTGCCTTCAGCGGATGGAAAGTGTCTAGCTCCTTCACTGCAAAGACTGTTTCGGAGTTTTATCTTGAATGGTTTGCATTTTGGAGTCGAATATACAAGACTAAAGTGCACAAGCAAAACTCAGACGCTACATCGATTATAAAAAAGAGTAGCGATGATATTGGAAAACTAGCCTTCACTGCTTTTGCAGATGCACAGAAGAAGCTACTTGTT